GGCGGAGGGGGGCGCGGGAGCAATGCCGAGGCTTGCAATCCCGTTGCCGGTCCCCGGTCCGGTACGGGGGGCAACACTGAGGGTTGCGATCCGTTGCCGGACACGGAAAAAGACAAAATAAAAAAAAAAATTTTTTTTAAATTTTCAGAATGCAGTTATACATATTGATAAATACTAGCCCAGACTTAGGTGACAAGAAATCCACTTACATTTAAATAAAATCTTTCCTACTTTTACATATATTTTATATATATATATGTGTGTATATATATATATTTATATACATATATATAAAATACACAATATATGTATGTATGCAGTACTTTAAAGTTTAGGCAAAAAAATGTTATAAGCATTTTCATTTTACACACAATCTATTTGGCAATGTTATCAATAATAAGTAGAAAAACAAACATTAAGAATTAAAACATAACCTTGTTTTCTTACCTGGTCCAATATCATTTCTGACATCATCCACACCAACATTTTTACAAAAAGTCGCTGAAATGATGTTTTTGTTTTCTAAAGGACCTACTGGTCTCTCCTTCAGCAACAAGGAAATGCTAGAAGTTGAAGTGCTTGCTGTTTGACTTTCAATTTGATTTACTTTTGACCAAGTACTGGGGTCTGAAAACTTCATGCATGCTGGAGTTTTCTCAGTTTTTTTATCTGAAGTTGAAAGATCAAAGGCTGACCTTCCACTTCTGTTTACTAAGTCTGCAGATGGCTTTATGTGAAATGAATGTGATTCATCCAGCTGTCCTTCACTGTACATTTTTCCTGAAACAATGTCATTTAATGGCTCTGTTTTCTCTGTATTATTTAATAAAGTATGCTGTCTTTCATTAACATTCACAAAGAGGAAGAGGTCATTTTTTGTGGTTTCAGTTATCTGATCCTCATCAATCTGACTCTGTTTACTGGAAAACTGAATTTCTGTAGAAGTTTTCATGTGAATAGCAGTTTCCACATCTTTGGCCTGTGAAGCATGACTATTCTCATCATTAACCTGAAGATGAGAAATGGTCACATTACTGTTTTCTAAATATCCAAAACAGCTTTTAAATTGACTGTTTTGTATATCATTCATATTTTCCCACTTAGTTCTTTGCACAGGGCTTGAATTGGGTTTCACCAACATAGACATACTGTTAACATTTTTATCTGAACTGTTAAGTACTTTCAAATTATCAGTGAAAGCAGCAGATGAAATCGGGTGATTGATTACTGTATCACAGGGAACAGTAAGTTCAGGTTTTTCTAAAATATCATTATAGATTTGCTGAAAATCTGAAGTTTGTTTAAAAGGTAATATGCTGTACTCAGTTTTTTTATCTAACAGTTGTATTTGTTTTATTTTACATTGTTTATCATCTAACATAACATTACTTGAATTCTGTAAACAGTATTTCTGACACTGAACAGTATTCTTTTTTACATCTTGAGAGGAATCCAAATCTGCTTTGGTTTGGTCACTATCTGTAATTTCCTTCTCTGTAGCATTTTCTTGAATCCCTGGAAGTGATCTCAACTGTTGTTTGAATGGTTCATTTTCAGAAACATCTTTATTATGATTTATCCTATGAGCCATCTCATTTAAAATACTATTAAATAACGTTCTGTTACTTTCAAGCTTCAGATGTACATCTGCATGGTGAAGCTTTAATCCTTCAGTTCTTTCTTGTATCTTTTCTGTTTCTACTGATGTATCTACCACTAAAAAAGGATTATTTGGTGACTTATATACTGTACATCCATTGTCTTTTTCCAAGCACATGTTGTCTTTTATTTCTGTAGTAACTGATTTTCTAATGTCAGTAACATTCAAGGTTTGTTCTTGACTAATTACTTTATCTATGCAGAGAATTTTGCTTAGGGAGATTTCACTTTGATTTTCATCCTGAGATACAGTAGTATCAATTTCATTCTTGAAGCTTTTCTCAAAAAGCTGTAAATCTGTCATGATGAGAACACAGTAAAATTTTATATTATACACTAAAGCCTGCTTTTATAAAACATATATATACATATCACCTATGTTTATAAAAAATCTAGCTTTAAATATTTTGTGCTAGAATAATTATACAAACATTATGACACAAATTTTACCTAAATATTGAGTCCCCTTTATTGTAGCAAGCATATATTTAGCATGCTAAATATTCATCTCTACCCATATTAAATATTTATTGTATAACAGCAAAAGCATTTTTGGTTTAATAAAGGGGAAATAAGTAGGGGTATTACAAAATGGCTTTTATGTCTCTAGTCTATTTCCTTTTGGGCACACAGAACAATTCCTTATAAACATATAGCTGATAAAACTTAATTTATCCTAACAGGTTACACTCTTAATTTCTATTACTACCCACGTCTAGCAATATCTAGAAATTGCTGCCTGGCTTCTTCAAGACTGACAGTCATCACTTTTTTATTCACTATGCTGTGAATATTTCAAAATTCTCGAATAATTTTGGACAAGTGTATAGAATACTTAATCAAGATATTAATTTTATTCATCAATGTTCTAACCATAGATTTCAAATTTTCAGTATATTTAAAATAATCTAGAATACAATTTTCAGGTCACGAAGGGCTCTTTTAGTCCAATCATTCTCTCTACAACATCTCCACCAAGTGGTTGTTCAGCCTAGGTTTGACACCTTCAATCAATACCATCTTTAAACAACTCTTTTTCAAAATGGAAGAATTAGTAAATTATTTGAATGGTTATAGATGGATCATCTGAATTAAGAAAAGTGCTCTAGGTCTGGTCATCAAAAGGCTTTTGGTGACCCAGAGAACATTCTCAGGAAAGCCGTGAAGGCAGAAACCGGCCAAGGAGTAAGTGATAAGAAGGGAAGGTAGAAATGTAGTTTTCCCATTTATAGATATTGAAAAGGCTTTTGGTGACCCAGAGAACATTCTCAGGAAAGCCGTGAAGGCAGAAACGGGCCAAGGAGTAAGTGATAAGAAGGGAAGGTAGAAATGTAGTTTTCCCATTTATAGATATTGACAATAAAAAAAATAGCTTGAAAGGATGATTGTTTTGTTGATATATACAAATGAAAAGGTATTTCTCCAGCTGTACTTACAAGGTCCTCAAAGACAAGACTGTAACTAATATTCCACTAAATTCCACAGAGTGCCCAGCATGGTGCTTTGACAGATCCTTTATTTGTGGGGGGAAAAAACTCATATACAAATTAGAAAATATCAATATAATTTTAAGATTACCTTCTATAATGATTTCTTCTACAGGTGGGTCTTCTTTCTTTTCCTCTTTTTCTCTGTCTTCAGTATCCAAACAAAAACTCTTAGTATTTCCTTCCCTTATTTCTTGCTCAGAATTATATTTTTGAATGTCAGGGTTTTCTGATTTTTCAGTTGACATTTCACTGTTTTCATTATTTACTTCTGGAACATCCTAATGTAAAATAGAAAAGATTCCTTTAATATAAAAACATTGCTAAAAAGTATAAAACATTTGAGCAAACTTTGCTGATGAAAATGGAATCTGTGTTTCAATTCAACCATTCATCAATTTCTGTTTGAAAACCAAATGATTCTTTTAGTAAGTTTAACATACTGCTCCTCATAACAAGATCACTAAGTTCATTTTATATAGCCTATTATATTAAACAAACTGGAGACCCTTGTATGTTCTCAAACATGCATACCACATTATTATGTAATACCACATTATAATGTAATAGAAGAAACACTCCTTTATTAAAAACAAGGTAGACATGGCAGTCAAATTGTTTTAAGCAGTATCTTTATATGTCTTTAAAACAGTGAATCAATTCAACATCTTTTTTCTCCCCCTATATATTGAGCACGTTACATGTGAAGCACTACACTAAGCTTTGGGATACAATGATGAACAAAATACAGTCTCTGCCCTCAAAATACTTACAGTCCAGTGCAAAGAAAAAGAAATAACAGGCAATTTTAATAAAATGTGATAAGTGCTCTGATGGGGATAAACATATGGCACTATGGGCACATACAGGAACAGTCCTGTCCCGGCTCTAGGGAGTCAAGGAAGGCTTTTCAGAGAAGGTGACAGCTAAACATACCTGAAGTATGATATGGAGTCATAGATGGGGATTAGAATGCACTCCAGAGAAAACAAATGGCATATGTAGATGCTTGAGAGCAAGCAAGATGATAGCCTGTTCGTAGAATTATGTGTGATTCAGTTCAGTCAGAGTTAGATGCTGGGAGAAGAATAGAGAGAAATGAGGCTTGAGGTAAAGTGGGCCTAAGTCATGAAGGCCTAATATAGTACCCTAAGGAATTTCAACTCTACCAGGAAGTCACTGAAGGGTTTTAAATAAGGAATGAATAACATGATCTGACAGAAAAGACCATTCTGGCTGCAGTATAGAGAATGTATTACAGTAATGTTTTCAAACTTCATTGACTGAAACCAGCATCGAGAAATACATGTTTTATAACTCAGTGAGTACACTGAACAATACGAACTGTGATGCACTCTGTTTTGTACGCTATTTCACTTTATTTTATTTTTAAAAGAATGCTGGTCACAAACCACTAAACTAATTCCCATGAACCGGTGATAGATTGCACCTAGAAGTCTAAACACTGAATTGAAGGCAACACATGAGGCAGAGAGGTAGTATCAGGAGAGTGCCATAGTAGTCCAGGTGATAACAATAAAGATAACAGAGCAGTGAACAGATTCATGAAGTATTTATGAACTAATATCAATAGAACTTGGTCAGTGATTGGATGTGAAGACAGAGAGAATAGTCAAGATTGACACCCAGAGTTCAGATTAGTTAACTAGGTGACTGGTGGATGCTATTCACTGAGTAGAAGACAAGAGTAGTAGCGGGTTTGAACCTGCTGAGTTTGAAAAGTTAGTAATACATTAAAGTAGTGATGTCTAATGAACATGTAGATGTATGAATCTGGAGATTAAGGGAGAAAATTGACCTGTAAAGGTAGATTTGAAAATCATTGGCAGATAAAGAAAGCAAATTAAAATGTACAAGTTGATGAGACTGCTAACAGAGTATATCTTAAGAAGAGAGGAGGATAAAGGATAAAATGCTGATGAAACTGTCCAAGGGAAAAGCAGAGGAAGAAAAGGTTGCAAAGGAGATTGAAAAAAATAGTATGGTAGTTAGCAGAAGCTTTGGAGTTGAATAAATATATGTTCAAATCATGGTTTCAGTATTGATTAGCTGTGAAATCCTAGACGAAAACTGGTAGTAGTTATCTATTACTATGTAACAAATTACCCTAAATGGTTTAAAACAGCAAATGTTTATTATCCCATAGTTTCAATGGGTCGGGAATCAAGGAGTGGCTTGGCTTGATGGTTCTGACTCGTGGTTTCTCTTGACTTTTCAGTCAAGCTGTCATCTAGAGCTTCATCATCCAGGGCTGGAGGATCTGCTTCTGGGAAGTCTCACATGGCTGGCAGTTAGTGCCACCTGTTTGCTAGAATACCAGAGTACCTAAGTTCTCTCCCATATAGCCTTTTATCCTCTGTGGCCTCTCTAGCAGAATAGCAGAATAGCCTGGACTTCTTTATGTGGTGGTTGGGCTGAGAGAGAGAGAGAGAGAGAGAAAGGCCTCTATTTATTGTGTGGCCTCTCTAGCAGAATAGCCTGGACTTCTTTATGTGGTGGTTGGGCTGAGAGAGAGAGAGAGAGAGAGAGAGAGAGAGAGAGAGAGAGAGAGAGAGAGAGAGAGAACAGAACACTGGTCCCTGAGACAGAAACCACAGTGTCCTTATAACCTAATCTCAGAAGTGACATTGCATCACTTCTGCTGCATTCTATTTAATTTATTAGAAGCCAGTCACTAAATCCATCTCACACTTAAGGGATTACAAAACAGCATGAAGAACAGAAGGTGGGAATCACTGGCGGCTGACCATCTTAGGGGCTGCTCTCAACAACACTTAAACTCTGTGAACCTAAAACTGATGTGAAGATTAAATTATGTATATAAAGCATATAGCACATAGTCACTCAATTAATGGTAATAATCACTGTTATATTTATGAATATTAAAATGATAATATCTCCTGCCTGGACTACTGCAGTGTTCTCTAAGCTGGAGTCTGTGTCTTTAGTTTTGTCCCACTCTAGTCTATCCACATCATCACTGAAATGATCTTTCAAAAATATCTCATTACTTACTTCTCTGCTTAAAAGTCCAAAATGGTAGACTCAAGAACAAACTTCTATGAATGCACAATTGAGCCCTATTTAGTTTGCCTTCTGCCTATCTTTTCAACCTCTTCTGCCAGCATCCTATACAACAACCATACTAAACTACTTCTAATTTCCATATTGAATAATGAGATGCCATATTTTTGATTCTTTGTCCATGCTATCCCATCTACTTGAAATACTATCTCTGTCTGGGAAAATTCTTACTTTACATAACTCAGCTAAGAAACCTCCTACTGTCTGAAGTCTTCCCTGAGCAGCCTGTCCTCACCTAAATAGAATGGATCTCTCCTTCCTTTGTGTCACTACTTTACTCTGAATATGCAGCCATAGAAGCACTTTTCACACTACACTACAATTACTCTTTAACCTGTTTCTTCTGCTAGATTGGAAGTTCCTTGAAACACCATTTGTCTCTTTCATTGTATTCCCATAATCTTTCACAGTGTGCACATAGACAATATTCAATAAATGCTTACTGAATAAGTACACAGATAAAAGAATAAAGTAAATGAATACATTAACAAGCATATGTATTAAGAATATCCACTTTATGAAAAGGACATGTATATTACAAAAATTAAAACATTTGCTTTAAGAAGGACTAATCACACAGCTCTTTAAAATAATAAACTTCCCTAGAACATCTGACATAATTTCTAAAATTTAGACTTATACTTCTAGTCATGCCAGAGTAACTGGTCCTTGACTTGCCTTTCTACTGTAAATTACCTAGAAAACTAGATTAAATGTATAAAACAACAGTTTTCAGACAATGAAGTACATACACTGATAAATTGTGTTCTCTGAGAATAGGAGGAAAAAATGCCATGAACTCTTCAATTACTCAGTCTTACTGCCTAGAGATACTTTCTACAGCATAGTACAGGGAAGGGGTACTCCTGCAAAGCAAGATGGTCTTGCTGAGTTGAGAAGACAAAGATCAGAGTCTGGAGAGGCCACGGTAGCTGTAATTTGTGAGGCAGAGTACTGAAGAAGAGGCAGGTATTCAGAAAAAGAGCTCCAGAAATCTACATGTTCAGTCTGTTAATGAATATTAAACCAGACATGTGTGGAGTAAAAGTCCTTGAAGACTTACAGGGGAGCTGTAAGCTGAGCAATTCCCGAGGTATTCAGAAAAAGAGCTCCAGAAATCTACATGTTCAGTCTGTTAATGAATATTAAACTAGACATGTGTGGAGTAAAAGTCCTTGAAGACTTACAGGGGAGCTGTAAGCTGAGCAATTCCCAGAGTTCCTACAAGTCTGAGTAAAGTCTAAGTTCCAATCAGCCAGAGTAGAAAGACATTATTGAATACTTAGGGCATCCTATAGAGCCCCCATAAGAATCACACCTTACTGGTAGGTATAAACTAGCCCTAGAGTAAGACCTATTTTACATTCACCCTTAAATTTAAAAATAAGCCTCAAAATTATGAAGATTATCTGCAAGTAATTTAAATACCTGTCAAACTTCGACACTCTTGAAAGGAAAACAAAAAAATCTAGCAATCAACAATGTACAATTCAAAATGTTCTAATCCAATAAAAAATTACTAGACAGGTGGAGAAGCACAAAAATGTCATCTGTTATGTTACCTTTTATAAAGCAATAAAAACAAATACCTAAATGAAAGAGATGATGGGATAGCTATTATAAAATAGCTATTATAAATGTTCAAAAATGTAAAGCAAAACAACATGAACATAATAAAGAGAAAAATTAAAGATGCCAAAAAAGAAACAAATGGAAATTCTAGAGATGAAATATACAGTATCTGAAATGAAAACTCACTGGATAGGCTTAATAGCAAATTAGACATTTTAGAAAGAAAGATAAATGACAAAATTTTTTGACAAAAAAATTAGTTCCAGCTCAGAGACACTTCCAGCACCTCAGGTCCACCCTGGGACATGAGACATGGAGCCAGATACTGGACCCCCCTCCCACAACCAGGCACACTGCACCAGCCTTGAGGCATGAAAAAGGGGACCAGACACCTCTCCCACAACCAGGCACACCATGCCAGTGCCTTGGAACCCACTCAGGTACCCGAGGTATGGAGAAGTGGACCGGACCCCCCACCAACAACCTGGCACACTGCGCAAGCACCTCAGGACCTGCCCAGGGACCCGAGACATGGAGCTGGGAACCGGACCCCCCCTCCCACAACCAGGCACACCGCATCAGTGCCTCATGGGCTACCCAGGGA